TCCCATCCCCCCTCACCGGGCCTCTTTGAGGTAGCCAGAGGAGTCCTGGATTCTCTTGTTATCAGGAGTTACCTATCATTCATTGCCAGCTGCTTATTTGATGCTGAAAATATCCCAGCTCTTCCCCGGGACTCCTTGGTCTTGGGAACAGTCCTCTTGTTCCTTAAAGTTCTGATTTTATGGAGTAGGATATTTGGGGCCTACTGTATGCTTTTTACCTATCCAATCCTCCCCCCCCCAAAAAAAAAAAGGAATCCTGCTTCCTTTTAGGGCAGGAAGGCCTTCAAGAAAGCAGGAGATGGGATGCCTTTTGCTACCTCCGGCTATTGGGCTTTTGAGCAAATAGAACCTGTGTGTCTGTGCTCACACGCGCACACAGAGATATATAATTCTGGACTTATGTCATACTCTCCTTTTCCTTCACTTATAACAGGTGGCTAAACCCCCTGTTTAAAATTGGTCACAAGCGGAGATTAGAAGAAGATGACATGTATTCAGTGCTTCCGGAAGATCGCTCCAAGCACCTCGGAGAAGAGTTACAAGGGTAAGCAAGCCGCAGTAATGAGAAGGGGAAGAAGGGGGATTTCAAAGCGAGGTTAGAGGCTTGGGGTGGGGGCTGCATTCCTGGCTTCTGTGCCAGTCTTCAGCTTCCTTGTGCCCCTCCCTAAGGCTGTCACAGGCTGAGCCTACTTTGGTGTCTGGGGACACCTTTCTGGAATGGCCCCCTGGCCTGTCATCCAGCAAGGCTGGGCAGTCACTTGTCACCTGAGACTGGCTGTCCTTCCCATTGTGCCCTGCAGATTGCCAGCATTTGCTGGGCAGATCTCAAAAGTGCCATGCCCTGCTGTGCTTTCACGATCTCTGGGCCACTGTTCCTTTACCACACTGTTTCTCCGCGTAGGTACTGGGATAAAGAAGTTTTGAGAGCTGAGAAAGAAGCACAGAAACCTTCTTTGACAAAAGCAATCATAAAGTGTTACTGGAAATCCTACTTGATCCTGGGAATTTTTACACTAATTGAGGTAAACACTTATACATACACTGAATTTCGTTCCGTGCCCACGGAGGGTACCGGTGGGGCTGTTGTAGACGGAGGCGAGTCGTCTAAGGTCTGAGGATAAAATAGTGGCTCGATGGTTGTATTTGTCTTTAGCGTGGGCACATACTTATCAATGCCTGGAGCCTCTGGGGACCGATTATTTCTCTGTAGCCAGTTACACAGACTGTCTTAGAAGGTCTTAGAAGGGTACTTTGGAAAACAAAAGGCCTTTTATACCATGTTAGGACATTGCTGGTGTCCAGTAAATGTTGCAACACTCAGAGGGATCCTTGAACAAAAGGGAATCCTGTGATCCCAAGGAATCGACGCCCTGGAGTTTGGAGGAAGTGGGTTTGGACCAGCACCCAGAATAACATGACTCACTCTACCGGTGTCGAACAAATCCTTATTAACTCAACCGGGTCGATGGATAAATGCTTTTCCAGCGGGCATCGCCACCTCTCCCCCCGGGGCCGCAGACCCCGGGTACTGCATCCGGCCGCGAGCTTCCTCGAGTGCCTGAGAACTCAGGCCTCCCCAGGTTCCCACCTTCTGCCGGGCGGGGTGCTCCAAGCCAGCAGCCCTTACTGTGGGGCTCTCAGGCTTTCCCATGAACGTGGCCACGGAGCCCGCTGGGGCTGGGGAGATGAGGCCCTGCGACCGAGCACCTCTAGATGCAACACTGGTCTTGTGAGGGCGAGGTGGGGGCAGGCCATGGGCCACCTGGCTGGCAGAGGTACCGCAGCCCCAACACTCCCACCCCACCTTGCACAGGTGTTGCAGTGGTGGTGGCTTCACCTGTCACTGCGGGCCCCATGTGGAGTGAGCTGTGTGGCACACTGGTGTTGCTGTGACTGATTGCAGGATTCCCTGGCCAGATGCAGCTCTCTCTGCAGAGAACAGAGCACCCCAGAATTCGGCGTGTCGGGTCGCCTTGAAACCTTGACGTGTGCCATGTCGGGTTGCATTGGGCAGGGATGAGCAGCTGTGGGGTTCAGTGTTGGTGCAAATTCTGCAGCAGGCCTCCCTGTCACCCCGGTTCTCTAGTTTCCCTTTGCTACCCGGTGCTTGAGAAACTGAAGACCCAAGACACTTGTGGCTGGGCGTGGCCGGAACTTCTGGTTTCCCTGCTGTCCTGGCTGCTGGCTCCTGGCTCTGGGGTGGGGGTCTCTAAGTCCCAGAGGTGACAAGTTACCCTTCTCAAAATGAGCTGCGTGTCTTTGCTGCACAAACTTTTGGAAGAAGTAGACATGGCTAGAAGTATGGACTGTGGATCTTCCCGGGAAGACTGAGCCCCCTAAAGTGCTTGGGGCTGTGGGGGTGTTCACTTCCGGGTTCTCCATCCTCAGGAATGCTATTGTTGGGGCCAGGAGGAGGCTGTAACTGGCCTGTTTCTGGAGGTTGTTTCTGGTCATCGTTGCAAGGTGAGGATAGAATGCCTGGCATGTGTGGGTGCGTGTATGCAGTGGTATTAGCATAGATGGTGATGCTGGCAGCAGCCAGTCTCCTGCCCAGTGGGAGGACCAGTGGTAGCTGTAGGGACTCACTGAGGAGGAGTTAGGAGCAGCAGAAGCTGCACCAGTGGGACCTTCTGTACGATATACCATAGAAGTACTAGAGTGGGAATAGTACTGGCAGGGACCAGGGGACGGTGCTGGTCTTGCTTTGATGGCCTTGGGGCCTGGGACTGGATGGTCTGGGCTGGGGCCTTGGATCCCTGCTGAGCGGTGGGGTCTCCCCACTTTTAGACACTCATGGCCTGACTCTTGGAGCTGGGGTGTGCATTTGCTGGGCAAGGCTGAACGTCCCAGATTGTCTCCATTGTCACTGGTGAGGGCCTGAACGTACCCCAGGAAGCAGAGCACGCCCCCCCCCCCAAACTCCCAGGGCTGAGGCATAGGGGACAGGCTGGTGGATCCAGGCGGTGCTAGAACAGATGAGTCTTGTGATGTAGGGTGCTTCCTGCGGGTTTGCCATGGGCCAGTATCTAGGTGGTTTATGGCTGGACTCCCGAGCGAGCCTAGTACCCAGAGGATGCTCTTTCTAACTTGTGTCTTTAAGGTAGTTAACTGGCAGGACTCTCAGTTTGGGGAGCTCAGGGTTGAAAGAGCTGCTCTGGATGTCACCCCTGGTTTTGTTTCCTGGCAGCTGGAAGAGGCGTGAAGTCCAAAACAAATACTCTTGTTTTCCTAGGCTTCTCTGCCGACACCCTGCTTGCTGTTCAGGTGGTTAGACTCCGAAGCTGTTGATGATCTGTGTTCCCAAGTTGCTTCCAGGGGCTGTCTGGGTTTTCGGTGATGCTCACCAGACACTGAGCTGGATGGGACTGTCCTCGGTTTAAATCCTGAGGACAATGAGGCAACTTAGCATTTCACCGTCTCACGACCCAGTCGCCTCCTGCAGATTGCGGGAAACCTAAACTCACCCTGGGATTTTCTTGGACTCCCAGCCCTCCTCTAAATCCTCTAGTGTATGCCACACCCCGAGAATCATCCTTGGTCCCAGGCTGCATACTGTTTCCAACCAGCAGCAGCAGGAAGAGGCAGGGCGATGTCAGAGCAGGGCGCGGATTTTGAGCTTGCGATCTCCAGAGTAGTGAAAGCCTGGGAGAATTGAGGAATGATCGTAGCCCACAGAGGAACACGTACCAGACCAAGACTAACTAGCAGAGACCAGCTAGCAGCTCCCCAGCACACAGGCCCCTGTGTGCTCTGTGGAGAGGACCCTTGGCAAGCCCGAGCCTGCCCTGAGCCCTTGGGGTAGAGAGGGAGCGGGGAGCGGCCCCGAAGCACCTGCCGGACTAAGCTAGAACCCACCTCCTAAGGCTGCCCTGGCCTTCCCTTTCTGTCCCTGGATGTTTCTGTGGTGACCTCAGAGGAGCTGGTGGGAGTGTCCCAGTCCCCCGCCCCTGGGAGGACAGGGTTGTGGAGACAAGGTCCGCTCCCTTAAAGCAAGCCCAGGGACTTGGCCTTTGTGCAGGTGATGTGAGCTGATCTCTGGTCCAGTGAGGCGGCAGGAAAGCAGGCATCCCCCTACGTTTTCATTTTGAAACTCAGCTGATGAACAGGAAGATGAACAGGAAGTAAATGAGCCCACTGAGCCTGAAGCCAGCACCTCCCAACTCCCCACGCCCGACACAGGGTTCCCAGGCGTCTTTCACCGTCCACGAAACCCAGCACCGTGAGCAGTGACTGTGGGCACCTACTGAGGAAGAAAGAGGCAGCGTGGAAACCTGAGAGCCCGCTGCGTACCTGCTGGCTCTGTGCACAGGTGGTAACCCTGCAGGCTGCCACGGGCCACCTGACTCGTGCCTGTGGCTTCTGCATGTGGCTTCTTTCAGTCCATTCCCTGACAGGATTGCATTTGTGGTGCTTCTAAAATAACCTGCCTAGAAGCGTGACGTCTAGTTGTCTGCAAACCTGCCAGGGACTGCTCTCAGGAGTCCTGTCCCTGGACCTGTAGGCAGCAGTGGGTTTTCCAAGCCCTGTGCCACAAGTCTCCCGGGAGCTCCGCACCCGGCCCGTGTCCTGGGTGAGGGGTCAGTTAAGAAGTGCCTCACTGGGTGACTGTCGGCGCGGAATGTCACCAGTGAACACGCACAAACCTTGGTGGCAGCGTGGCAGCTATATCTCTGCTCGGGGAGGTGCCACGCACCCTGCTCCTGCTTACACGCAGCCACCTTGGATTGCACATCCCATCCCGGGGGACTGTGAACCACACCGGCCTCGTGTGGCAGCTACTGGGATCAGGGCGGAGCTGAGCGGCCAGGTCCTGTTATTCAGCACCCACAGCGGGTGGTTTCTGGGTTCCTCCCTTGTCCTGCTTGGGCCCAACTTGCAGCCTGGTTCTGCTGGGAAGGAGACTTGGAGGAGGCACATGGCGGAGAGACGTGTAGAGACACTTGGAAGAGGCACAGGCGAGAGGTGCGTGGACGAACAGCGCGTGGGAGGCTGACGTGGCCGCCCCTGCGTGGATGCGGTGTCTCCGTGTCTCCCAGCTCTCCCAGCTCTGCCTGACTAACCCCTTCTGTGGTTCCCTGCAAGACGGTGCCTTAGATTGTGTCAAGCTTTGGGGCTTTAGCTGCCCTGCAGCAGGCTTGGCCTCTTAGGGCATTTGAAGGGTGGGTAGTTAGGGCTTTTACTGGGAAGCCATCATTAGGATTATCCTTTCTTTATTTTCTCGGTGCACAGGAGGGCTATTACAGATCTTTCACACTAAAAGTCTTCCTTCCAGACCCTCCCTAGAGGCGCTGTGGGTTAAAGCCTACAGTATGAAGCTGTCTGTACCTTTTTGGCGCAAGTTTGATTCCTGGCCAGGGAGGTGACCTCAATGGCGCGCAGACCTCTCCTGATCTGCCCGCTGCTCCCCTCAGCAGTGTACTTCCATCTGCCTGTTCTGCTCCCCACTCTGTCTCTGGTGAAGTCTCTTACCATGCCTGTACCTTGGTTCTGTCTGCATCAATAAATAATTAAAAAAATAAATAAGATTCCCCCTTCTGCGTTCCTCACGTGCTGGGAGGGGACTGAGCCACCGCGGCCTTTCCCTTCAGTTGCCTGTGGACAGATCACGCGGCTCATAGAACACTGAGTTTCCACCCGGTGTCAGTGTTGGAGTCATGGGCAAGCTAAGGTCACCATTAGGTTTCTCTGGGGCTTTATCAGAGTCTGGCATGTGGTTGCGTCTGACAACACCACACTGATAAAGAAACAGGAGGCGAGGAGCCGGCTGCACGATGCAGGACGCTGTCCAGCAAGCAAGCTCCTGGCCTTTTTTATTGATAATCTCATATAGCATTCGTGGTAAGGGGAAGTAGTGGAGGAAGGCTCTGTCATCTATGGTATTAGGGACTAAGAGTCAGCTAATCTGCTGAAGGCTCAGTGTTGTAATTGAGATCCAGTCCCAGGTCCCTGTCAGGGTTTCAGCCTCATCAACAAAGCTCCACCGATCAGCTTCTGGGGTCCCTTGCTATACATCATGCCCACC